CTGGCAGACAGGAAGGCTGGCAGACAGGAAGGCTGGCAGACAGGGGCAGGCAGATCAGCGGGCAGGGGGCAGGCCGGTGGGTGGGGTGCAGCTCTCACCACGGCCTGTGGTAAGGTCTGCTGTGACGCCCTGGCTGGACAGGTTCTCGGGTTGAGAGCTAAGAGCGCGTGGGGAGAGCTGCTCCTGCTTCACCACAGGGTACGGTCCTGCGGACAGAAGTGGGGGTGTCAGCTTCTGGGAAACACTACGCCATGGCCAACATCCGGAGAAGCAATGACTCTCACCCAGCTTCTTCTGCTCCATCCACGTCAGGCTGAGAGCCCCCCCGGCAGGGCCCTTGCTGTGCTCGGGGCCATGGGCAGGACTGTGCAGCTGCACTGGAGTGCCCTGGGCAGATGGCAGGATGGCATTCAGAGTAGGACCACAGCGAGACCGGGGACACCCTGCTGCAAATTTAGGGGGATTTCACACTCACCTGGGTGATAGAACCTCCAGGCTTGGCAGAGGAGATCAGGGGAGGGGGCTCCGGAATGGGCTGGGGCCGGCCAGTAGAGGCCAGGCGTCCTGCGTCCTGCTGCAGAGCGAGGGGGAGTCCGTGTACAGCCTGTGGGAATGCTGGACGGGAAGAGAGAGAAAGAGCATATAGGAGGAATAAAACACCCCAGAAGAGTAACAAAGGCGGCTAGTGGGGGTGGGGCAGGGACAGGGCGGCCCTTCATTTCACTCTGATCTCAGAGTGGCAGGCCGTACGTACTGGGGCTGTAGTGCAGCAGTGGCTGCTCGTGGACCAGGCGGCCCACGTCCCGTGGAGATTGCTGGTAGGGGGAAATGACAGGCCGGCTGGAGCTGGCAGGCCGGAGATCATCTGCAGCCGACCCGGGCTTCCAGCCTTCCCCATGTGGGGAGTACGCACTCGGCTTGTCTGAGGAGAGAAAACAGGGTCCTCTGCATTATCTCTGACATGGAGCCATAGGCCCTGTTCACACCTGGTATTAACATGCGTCCTGGGTGATCCGATCACAAGCGGACAGAGCTAAATATGTCCATTCACACCTGGTATTAACATGCATCTCCGTGTGCGTCTTGACTGACCGCTTTTAATCGCATCGCACTTTCCTGCAGCTCATTAAAACGTAAATCACTTCTGTATGCAGACATTAAAAGGAGGAGAAGCAAAAATCAAAAGCTATTGGCGCATTCCAGGGTGAACAAAGAGCCATCATTGTCAAAATGAAATAAATGTATCTATAAATAAGTAAATTAATAAATAAGAATTTCAATAATTAATTTGTACTTTTATTTTTAAATAACTCCATAAAGGTTATTATATTGCTTAATAACGTTTATCTTCTACGTATAATCTTTAAATTGTATTTCGTAGTAATGTTGGGATTTTCTTTTGAGTCATTATGATGAAATATAATACACGACACAAATGTGAATTCTTAAATAATTCAAACGATATTTCACAATAAAATTCAACTTTTCACGTTGTAGGCATGTATTTGTATACAGCGTCAACATGATAAAAATGTACGTGTTAAAAAGGTTTTTTCAGTACTTTGGTTAATACTTCTCCATTCAAGGGCAAAGGGTTCAGTCTGTAATGCATTATGCTGGTTGCCATATGATAATATTTCAGTTATTAATCATAACCAATGAATTTGTGAAAATTTCACCAAAGAGGTTCATTGTTTTGTCTGATACGCTGAATTGTATGTCTGACTTGGAGCAAGTGAAGTAAATGAAGCGAAGTAGTCAGGGCTGGAGTGGGACTGAATTTCTGACTGGGACCAATATAAAACTATATAAACAATCACTATTATTATATGTTTCTTTTAACATATCCATTATCTAGGCTATTGAACGCACATTTTGTCACCTACACGCTTTAATTCTGCGTTCATGTAATTTTTAATGTCTCGTTTCACCAATATTAATGAAGCATGGAGCAGCTTTGACATACGTAAGGAAGCATCATCAAACTGCACATTACATATATGATCTGGGCAAATTTCAAAACATCTTTAATAAATCACTTCTTACACAATTTATTTTTCCAGAATTTGCACGGAACATCAGTGATGCACACTTTATTGTCCCACATTAAACCAAATTCCTAGCAGATTCAAACTTCTTTTTTGGTGTTGTAGAAAAAAAGATGCATTGTCATTCACAATGCAGTTTACTACACAGTGGCCCATTCTGCGCTGACATACGTTCTGACATAAATCATATTGGTGTGGAAAGGACCATAGAAACGATACAAACGTCTCGCTGCAGTGCCATGGAGATGCTGGCCACTGGCTGCTTAATGGCTACGCTCTGCTGCCGCACACAGGGACAGTGGTCAGAGAAGCGCTAGTCACCACACATCTCACTGTGCGTCATCACTGCGCTGCCCCAATGATTGGGGCAATATCTAATGGTATCTGGTATCTCATATCAGACGGTCAGAGACTCTAGGTAAGAACTTTGGGGAGCAGCATAAACATGCACGGCTCTAATAGGGGCATCCCAAACACTACCAGTACTTCATCTGATGCCTGGACACACCCCAAAGTCCACATTTGTTCCTGTTCTTGGTTAGAATTTAATTACAGTGGTGCCTGCGGTTCACGAACACAATCCGTTCCAGGAAAGTGGTCGTGAACCAATTTGTACACGAACCAAGGCAATTTTCCCCATAAGAAAGCATTGAAATTCGATTAATTCGTTCAAAAACCTACCAAATAATAATTTTTGTTAAATAATTTTCTGGTTTTTATAGTAAAAATTTAAGGAAAAACAATATAGTATGGCGATGAGCGTATCGATGAATTACGGGAGCAGAGAGACAGTGAAGACTTGCTTGCCAGGGAAATCATGCTCTTTATTAACAGTCTTTAACCCTTGTATTGTTGTTGTTGTTGTTGTTGTTAATATTAATGGTTGCGATCCTCATGTGTATTTAGCGTGTGTAAATCTTCCACCGTGTGAGCATCTTGCAGTTCGGCGTCTGACATCCTTGTGTTTCCTGTCTGTGTATTTGGGTTTGGTGCTCATTGAGTGCTTGTTGTGATCCTTCTATTTACATTTGTAAGCAGGGCATGCTGGGACATGCGCGCCGCCGCTGCTACACTAGTATAAAAAAAGGAATCTGGTCAAGGAATCTGTTCAACCAGATTTTGTACGCGAACCAATGCATTTTTTTCATGAAATTTTTGGTCGTGAACCAAATTGTTTGTAAGCCACAGTGTTCGTGAACCGCAGGCACCACTGTAGCTGAAGGTTTTCAATGTGTGGTCTATGCTTACTCGCTCATTTTTTAATTTGCTGTCAGGTTCATTTTAATTAAGAATGACACATTACAAGCACATATAATTACAATTTAATCGAATCAAGATTATTTTTTTTGGCAATTTCACACCACTTTTTCCCCCAATTCTTTGCTCACTTCTTTCCTCATATTACCTTAACAGAGACTTGTTTGACCAAAGGGGTGAGAGGTTTAAAGTGAGAGTCCCTCACTGCACCAGCTTTGTCTCTGTTTTTTTTTTTTGCTTTCAGTAGATCTGGGGTTTAGCGGGTCAGACTAACAGATTGGACTAAGAGCTGCCATGCCGCCACAGCAGCAGGAACATAAAAGCTGTTGAAATTAAACACAACGTGCCAAAGGATGTACTTTGCTGATCAGTGAGGCCGCCTCTTTGGTTTTGTCATTATCGGTCATTATTTAGATGCGGTGTATCTTTTTTTACTGGCTGAAGTCATTGTCATACATGGCACTGACGTCCCTTCCGATTTATGAGTTAATAGTGCGAGGGACATACCATCCTTGTCAGGGGCCATGGGGGCGGGGCTCCGAGCCTGGGGGCGGTCCCTGGGTGCCTGCTGGATATGGAGCTGCTGCTGTGGAGGCTTGCCGGTCGAGGGGCCCTCCTGGGACAGTTCATGTGCCATGGTGATCTGCTGCTGGTACAAAGCAAGCGCGTGGGGGGGCACCAGCTGCTTTGCACCCCCACCACGGGGGCCACTCTGTGCAGAAACCTCTGGCATCTGGGGAGACGTGACAGCAACATGTATCACTGCGCATATTCATACCCCGATACGCACATTTTCACTCCCCGATATGCACATGTTAACAGCCATATATGCATATTCACTCCCAGAAACCCATATATTCGCACCCACATATTCACATATTCACACCCATATGCGCTCATATTCACTCCCAGAAACCCATATATCCACTCCCAGATACGCACGTTTACAGCCATATACGCATTTTCACTCCCAGATACGCATAAATTCATGCTTTGAGACAATGCAATATTATGAAAATTTGCTATAGAAAATAAACAACTGAACTGAATCTTGCTAGCCTACAACATTAAGGCTTTGCTGCATGAACATATAACCCACAGAGCCGCACAGCAACCCACCAGCAAACAGCAGTAACTGTGCCCTTATCACTCGGTTACACTGCCATTGTAGATTATCAAGTTTATACTAGCTCACTACCAAAGAGGTGCCTTAAACCTGCGTCCCATTACGTAAGCATGTTATAGTAACAGTGCATATTACCACAGCGTCAGGGCAGCTATTAACCTCCATTCGTTGGGAGGGAATTACAAGCTAGCAGTCAAAGCAGCCAAATGTGCCGGTCTCACGCCTGACGCAGTCCTGGCAGACAGGCTGCAGCCCTACTGCCCGCTTGTGTATTATGTGGGGGGGTGCGCATTTCATTTGGTGGCTCATACATGGAGGCTGGCATATTCTGGCACTTTCCGTAACCAGCCCCTGAGCTAATACTAACTCTAAGAAGTGGGCATGTGTTTCAACAGGCATGTGCCAACCTCCCCCCCCCCTTCCCCAACACACACACACACACACTCACGATAGGCGGAATAGCAGCAGCCCTCTGTTTGAGCTGCTTGAGGTCCATGGGCTTCTGCTGTGCTGAGGAAATGACCCCATCATGGGTGTAGTTCAGCAGACTGGGCCTTGGAGAGGTTATCCTGTAGGTAGTGAGGGGAGAGATAGCAGGTATGAGAGGAGAGGAGAGGGCAGGGCACAGGAGACACCTTAGCTAAATAAGGTCAGAGAAAGACGTCTCCCTCTGCTGATCAATGCTGTGAGGGAGGTGCTGCTGGGAACACAGGCCAGGACACTGTAGCTTTGGAGAACATTTCCATTCCTCACCACATCCAGCCCCACCCCCCTTTCCTGAATGTGCTTTGGCATCTGCCAAAAGCGACATTTTGCTGACGAAGCCAACATACGCAGTCTGCTGTCATGGGGAGAGGGAACAAACACTCCTCTGGCATGGAGAATGATCTCCCCGCGACACCAAAAATGCTTGCTCTGCCGGCACAGAGCACGATCCCCTGTTGGCACTAAGATCAATTCTCCTGCAGGCTCTGAGGACGCTTGCTCTGATGGCACAGAGAACGATCCCCTGCTGGCACCAAGAGCAATCTCCCAGACAGCACCGACAACAATCCCTCCGCCAGCAGAGAGAAAGATCCCCCCGGTGGCACCGAGTATGCTTGCTCTGCCGGCACGGAGAACGATTTCACTGCCAGCACTGAGAACCTCCCCTCCAGCACTGAAAACGATCCTCCCCTGTCACCAAGAATGCTTGCTCTGCTGGCACAGAGAATGATCCCCCACCCCCCGGGACCGGGAATGCTTGCCCTGCTAGCACAGAGAATGATCCTCCCCTGGCACCAAGAACACTTGCCTTGCTGGCACAGAGAATGATCCTCCCCTGGAACCAAGAACGCTTACTCTGCTGGAACTGAAAACAATCCCTCTGCTGGCACTGAGCACAATCCCTCGGCCAGCAGGGAGAAGGATCCCCCCCACTCACACAGAGTATGCTTGCTCTGCCGACAGAGAGAATGCCAGCACCGAGAACCTCACCTCCAGTACCAAAAGCGATCCTCCCCCAGCACTGAGAACGCTTGCCTGCTGGCACAGAGAACGATCCCCCCCCACCCCCCGGCACCAAGAACACTTGCTCTGCTGGCACAGAGAATGATCCTCCCCTGGCAATCTGTGACAGGAAACACAAACTTACCCTGTCTGAAATTCAACCTGCTATGATATTTATATCTATTTGAGTCATAAGGCAATTAAACACTGTCTTGTTCTGCTGGCACAGAGAACAATTCCCCGGCACCGAGAACGCTTGCTCTGCTGGCACAGAGAATGATCCTCCCCTGGCACCAAGATCGCTTGCCCTGCTGGCACAGAGAATGATCCTCCCCCAGCACCGAGAACGCTTGCTCTACTGGCACAGAGAATGATCCTNTCCCCTGGCACCAAGATCGCTTGCCCTGCTGGCACAGAGAATGATCCTCCCCCAGCACCGAGAACGCTTGCTCTACTGGCACAGAGAATGATCCTTCCCCAGCACCGAGAACACTTCCTCTGCTGGCACAGAGAACGATCCTCCCCCGGCACTGAGAACACTTGCTCTACTGGCACAGAGAATGATCCTCCCCCAGCACTGAGAACGCTCCCTCTGCTGGCACAGAGAATGATCCTCCCCTGGCACCAAGATCGCTTGCCCTGCTGGCACAGAGAATGATCCTCCCCCAGCACCGAGAACGCTTCCACTGCTGGCACAGAGAATGATCCTCCCCCAGCACTGAGAACGCTCCCTCTGCTGGCACAGAGAATGATCCTCCCCGGCACTGAGAACGCTTCCTCTGCTGGCACAGAGAATGATCCTCCCCCGGCACTGAGAACGCTTGCTCTACTGGCACAGAGAATGATCCTCCCCCAGCACCAAGAATGCTTCCTCTGCTGGCACTGAAAACAATCCCTGAAGCATGTGAAGCAAACAATATACGTCTGGTCTGACAGAGGAAAAAAGAAAACCTTTCTTTATCAATAAGAATCACACTAGAATCAGTTTTCTTGATTCTTATCACTGTATGTGTGTAAGGTGGGGGGGACCCACCTGCTCTTCTCTGTGCTGTCCGGCTCCTCCACCTCATCGGCGCTGCAGGTGGCACTGGAGTCGCTGTCCCCTTGATGGCCAGCTTTGGATTCATTCTCCTTCTTGATGCTCTTGATAGAGCCCTTTCCCCTGTTGGCCTCTGGAGGGGGCTTTTTCTCTGCACAGTCAATGGGCTGCTCCTTGACGCCTTCCTCAGGCTCACTCTTTGCCTCCGGCTCTGCCACAGGCTCTGCCTCCATGGACATGGGTTCTGAGTCAGCTGCTCCCCGGTCAACCTCCCCTGTGTAGGGACCTTCTTCCACTAGGCAGCCCTCCGCTCCAGGCACCTGGCTAGGCTTGGTCCTGGTGCTGCACTCTTCCTTGGCTTTGCTTTCCTCAGAAGAGCGAGGTGACGGCAGGCTCTCTGTATCCGAGCTGTTGTTAGCCCCTGCTTTGAGTTGGTGGTGGTGGGGGGGGGAGGGGGGGATTCAAGAGGAAATCTTAACAGATTGCTTTTGAGAGGAACAGAGCAGTTCCATTCATTGAGCTACCTTGCTGAATGAGACTTATCTAAGTAGCAGGAACGCATACAGCAAACGTGATGGACAGCAGAAGAGCAGAAGAGGACATACAAGCCAGAGACATTTGTGATGAATTAGAAGATGTCTAGAGGGCCAGATCTCTGTCGACTATCCCAGTCATGACAGAGAGCAGAATGGATAAGCCATCAATACTGCCTAAAGCCTAACTCACACTTCACTTTTCCGCGTGTGCTTTTTGGGCTGCGGATGATCGTGTATGTGGATGCTTTTTTGTTCATGCTACATTTGTCGTTGGATGCAAATGGTCACGGTCGGTGCATCCATACAGCACTGATATTCCAGCAGTTTTTATGAATGGTTATAAAGTTGTTAGTATAGGCTAATATGGTGTACTGTGGCATTTTCAAATACAAAATGAACCGGGAACTACCCCCTGCAAATTTTATCACCAAAATTTCAAAATACTGTTTCATTTGAAAATACCATATACTGCAGTATAATGTCAGGAAGATATAAATTATAAAAATGTAAAAAATTAGGTATGCCGATACCTCTTTGCCTCCTACAATTATTCTTATTCTACTCTTTCTAGGTTGACCTCTGCTCCTTTAGTGTCACTGCTGTCACCTACAGGAAACACCTAGTCAATTATTTTGCACATGTGCAGTGGACAGGCACAGACATGCACCTCCACTACACGTACTGCAGCCGTCTGCTACAAACCCCTGATGATGAAAATTACGTTACCTCACCCTGTGCACGACTGAAAGCACACGAGGAAAAGTATGAACTGGCCTTAAGCATAGTCCTCTGTGTTAGCATAGGAGCTAACTGTTCATATTTGCATTTGGATGACACGTTTTTCTGATAGTTTTTTGATTCCTCAAAGCTTTTGCTCTCTCCAGGAATTTTCCAAAATTCTGGTATGTTTGTCACAGTCATGGAAGAGAAGCTCAATTCATCAGCACCAGTGTACATCTGAAGGCCAGATGTATAACTACTCAGAGGAGGCCCTCCCCAATGACTAACGCCACTGCTTTCCCTGTAGCTCCTGAAGGCCAGATGTATACTCAAAGGAGGCCCTCCCCAATGACTAACGCCACTGCTTTCCCTGTAGCTCCTGAAGGCCAGATGTATACTCAAAGGAGGCCCTCCCCAATGACTATCGCCACTGCTTTCCCTGTAGCTCCTGAAGGCCAGATGTATACTCAAAGGAGGCCCTCCCC